TTACCTCCCGATTAACGTGATAAACCTAGGCGGTCTTGCTATGCTTTACGAAAGTCTTTTCCTTGACTATTCTTTAGCTGTCATAGCATACACTGCTATAACAAAATGTTGTTGTATTGTCATTGCGATAAGGTTCAGATCCGTGTTTACAGTGAAACGATCCGTTATAGTTCTAGTGGTTATTTTTATCCCCGTCCTCGCGATATCACTTCCCATCTACATCACGACGGGGTTTGTGGTATCCGTCAACCCCAGGACAAACATCACCCAGATTGTTGCTTGGTTCTCTAAGGACTACCGTTCAGCTGTTGAGTTCAACAACCTCGTCAACAACACGGTATATCCTAACGCGATTTTCTTTATCGTTCTCGGCTGTTCCGTCGTCTTATCTAACGCCCTCGTTAAGGCGTCGGCTATTAGATTACAAATGACGACGCCACAGAATGAATCTCGACACATCCATGATTCAGATCTGTGCAATAACGATGGTTTTTTAATTGTATCTGGATCGTTAAACAAGAAAGACATTCACGTTATCAAACAAGTTGTGGCTATCTCCATTAGCCTGATGGCTACAGTACTGGTCAAGTCTGTAACTGGCCTGACCGAGGTCTTCGTGCCAGAATTCAACAACAGCGGAAAATACGTGCGTCTGTACCTCATTATTGCCACACTCTGCTACACCTGCACTCACGTTCACGCAGGTCTACAGCTGGTCATTTACTACAAGTTTAACTCACAGTACAGGAGGATTTGTAGGAGGATAATATACTGCAGGTAGACAAGAGACTACAGGAAGATTTGTAGGGAAATTTTATACTGCAGGTAGACTAGAGACTACAGGAAGATTTGTAGGGAAATTTTATACTGCAGGTAGACTAGAGACTACAGGAGGATTTGTAGGAGGATTTTTACAACTATATTATCGTGCTGTTATTAAGTAAAATAAATATAAAAGATATGTATCAAAATAAGGTTTAAAATGGTCTGAAAGTATGAAAATAACACAAACTAGCTTTGTTTATTAAAATATTTGGTAGATCATGCGATTTATTATTTATTTTATAATCGAAACGTTTATCAAAGAAAGCGCTTTTTTATTTTCTTATTTTCAGTGTATTTTAAAGGCTGTTATTATAAAAGGTTTAATATTTGTTTTATTTACATTCTTTTGTTATTCGTTCAAATGAAGACTACTTAGGCTAAACTTAATAATATTTGTGTTAAAAGATAGTTATCTGCTCCTTCTTAGTTGGTGGTCGACGCTCAACCAAGAAATCAACCAGCCTTGACAGACAGTTCGAACTACCTTCGACGGCCAATTGAACGAGTAATTGCTAGTAATTAATCTTGTTATCTCCCCTCCGAGTGTTGAATATAAAAATTACACTCTAACAACTAAACGTATGTTTAATTTTCTTAAAAATTAAATTAGATACCCTTGCATTGTCATTAAATAAGAAAGTATTTGAAAGGTTTGAACAAAATTGCTGAATTGGAATTTTGTCAAAATTGAGTTATAAGACTTGCCACAAACCCACAAAAAGCTTGCATATTTTGTAAGCTAAGTAAAAGCTTTTAATAAAACAAATAGAAAAAAACTTTTAACGCAACAAGCTTAAAAACACTGAAAATAAGAAAATAAAACTAGCTTTCTTTCTTTCATAAACGTTTTGTTTGCTAAAATATGTAAAATATTCCAAGAGTAACAAAAGCTTTTATGAAAGAAAGCAAACTAGTGTTATTTTCTTATTTACAGTGCATTTAAAAGCTTGCTATTAGAAATGTTTTTTATATTTGTTTTATTTTCTACTTTTTAGTGACGACTAATTATGAAGTGGACACGACTAAAAATATTTGTTTTAAACACCATCACTAGATCGAGTTTTCTAAAAGACGATTATCTGCCTCGTGAAAGCAGCCGTCCTTGACCAAATTTTTCAGACGACAGCTAGTTCTAATTTGTTTTTACTTCCGCTTAGTTTCAAATCGTTTAAAAACTTTATTACCAGCCCCTAAGAGCCTTCACTAGATCCACCGTCTCTACGATTGTAAACATTCGGCGTGAACCACAGCTCACCAGACCGTTAGGGTGATTCGTCTAGCTAGTTATTTCCCCTTCTGTTATTGAATATAGCAATTTATCGAGTGATTTAATTTTGTTATCTCCCCTTAGTTTCGAAAACGTTTAATTAACTTTTAATGACTAACTAAGCATCTAATTAAAATAAAACATAAATAGACTTGTATTGTCATTGAAGTCGAACATATATAGAAGGTTTAGAGGAAATAGCTGCATTAAAAGTGGGTCAACATTGAGTTACAAGGTTTGCCACAAACCCACAAGCAAACAGACGTTGCCAACTTAATAAAAGCTTGTAAAAATGTATTTAAGTAAACGCGTGAAATCTAGTACCATTTTCCACAGTGATTCTATAATTTGGACCTCGAAATTCAATACCCATATGTTGATTTCATCTCGAAGCTTTAAATTAATGGAAGAAACAATATAATTTAACGTTAATATTAAAACATTGTTTATGTTAGGAATTTCAAAGCAGCTAATACTAAGATTTACTAGTCATTGTCGTGGTTTAATATTTTTTAGTTTTTTAATATATGTTTTTAAAGATAGTTTTAAGTGTTGTAACATTTTCATTTGTAAGTTTTATCTACGTATTAAAGTTATTATAACAAAGCATACAGTCGTTAGTTGACTATATTAGCATATGTTTTTGTTAGACTGTGCTGGAGAGTGAGGTAAAGATAAACTGATTTCTTCATCGGGTTCAATAGCAAAGTCCACTCAGCTCTGATGTAACACAGAGTTGACTAGAGATCAGTGTTTCTTCCAGCCTTTTTTCTCCGGGAGGGGGGGGGGGGGCACTTGAAATTTTCGCGGGGGGGGGGGGGGGGCGGTAGACTTTCTTCGGGGACGACGACACTGTTAAAAGTATATATTTTCTATATAAATTATATACATTTCATTTCGTTCGGGGGGGGGGGGGGGGTAGAATTTTTTCCGAAGAGATGGCTGGAAGAAACTCTGCTAGAGATTATGCTGACCAGGCCCTTCAACTACCCAATGTCACACACCAGGCGAACACATGTTGCTTTGGCCTGAAAATAAAACTACAATAATTTATGTATCTATTTATTTTTATGTTTATTTATTTATTTATTTTTACAAAAAAAACAGGTTTTGTTCTTCGCTTTTATGTTTCACAAAATTTATGATAACTATTTTACAACATTCTTCAGATATCACCTTTGCTCATCATGTGTGTGTAAACACGTAACTGACATTTCCATTTCCAAACAAAATCAGAAACTATGGACAGAAAATTTCCTACTATACGCTTACCTTTATCTTAAAAAGGGAATAGTCATTGAATGATTTTAGCTACCCTGAATAATTAAACTAAATAACGGATAAATTTGCAAAGAATGAAGTTACGATTTAGCTACTCTCATTCCCTCACACAAAGACCTTTTATTGTACGCTATTGTCGGAGTTGCAGACCTGAATTTTTAGTCTTAACAAGGTGGTATTCACAAGCGCTAATTATATTCCTTAGTTTTCTATTGACGTAACTATTTTCTTTTTCTACCGGTAACTTACTACAGAAAACTACTAATTATAGTTCCTTCTAGAAAAGCCAAGTTAAATTGCACTGTACATTGTGATTTGTGCATTTTAATTACATAAAAACATCAATGTTGTAGTTTTTTTTATATTTTCAATTCGAAAATAATTATATCTTATTTATTTTTATAATTTTAAAAATAGATGAAAATACTCTTTATTCGGAAAATTTGAAACTGTCTTTTAAATTTGTTAGGTCAAACGTATATAATCATAAATCACAATCAAGTAGATATATTTAGTTTTTGCTAAATTACCTGTGTGTTTGTAAGCTTGATACAGAAAGAAAAAAGTTACAATCATTTTCAAATTAAAAAAAAAATGAAATTGATTAGAAATCAGTTATAGTGTTCTAATTTTCTTTCTGATAAAAGTTTCTTTCAATTTTACAGAAGTTGGTCGAGCGTGGGGGCAAAAGATGTTGATATTGTGGTTCATGTTATACACGTAATGCTAAACTGACGCGTCTTGTATGTGTACATTAGGCAGATCAACAATCGAGTTACATGAACATTTGATAGCAGTCCAACAAGGTTTCCTTACAGTCCAACTAAATTATTTTGCTAATGAGCTATAGACATACGATAATAATACATAAACAGTAGCCTATCAACATTATATAGTACACCAACAAAGTTATGTTGAAAACTAGTTAAAACCTGCTAGTAATTCATCAACTGTTGCTGATAGGACTTCACGTTGGTTTTGTTTTGTTCATATAAACTTGTCTATTGTTTATTACTTTTCTAAAAGATAACAAAATGTGCAGTTAATTAATCAACGTTTTTAGTTTAGTGCCGAGCTGAATAAACTTAAGATTTAATTTCTACTCCGACGATCTCATTCCAGTCTAATTATGTGTTCAAACAACGCCACCATAACATTTAAGTCCGACATTGGAGTTATCGACGACTACCTGTTTAAAATACTTTCGACAATTATCTCTGTTGCAGTTTTCCCAGTGGGGATAAGTCTCGGTATTTGCGCTAACCTTGTAAACATTATCGTATTCGCCAAGATGAAAACCAAAGACAGTGTTGTCGTTTCGTTTCAGGTGCTATCCGTGTCAGATTTTTTGTAACTGATCCTTGCTTTTATCTCAGCTGTTGCTTCAATCATCGGACTGTGTGGAGGTCAGGATTACCTCCCTGTTAATGTAGTCCAACTAGGTGGGCTAGCTCTTTTATACGAGGGCCTCTTTCTAGATTATTCTCTTTCTATTATAGCTTTCATCGCTGTAACTAAATGCTGTTGTATTGTTATAGCTTTCAGATTTAGGTATACTTTTACAGTGCAACGAACCATTATAGTTTTAGCCATTATTTTTATACCGATCTTTGCTATATCTTTGCCGATGTACACTACAACGGGGTTTGTGGTTTCCGTCAACCCCAGGACAAACATCACCCAGATTGTTGCTTGGTTCTCTAAGGACTACCGTTCAGTTGTTGAGTTCAACAACCTCGTCAACAACACGGTCTATCCCAACACGGTTTTCTTTATTGTTCTCGGCTGTTCCGTCGTCTTATCTAACGCCCTCGTTAAGGCGTCGACTATCAGATTAAAGTTGATGACGCCACAAAATAAATCACGACAGACCAATACCTCAGATCATCACAATAACGATGAATTCACAACTTTGTCTGGAGTGTTAAACAAGAAAGACATTCACGTTATCAAACAAGTTGTGGCTATCTCCATTAGCCTGATGGCTACCGTACTTGTCAAGTCTGTAACTGGCCTGACCGAGGTCTTGGTCCCAGGGTTTAGCGACAGGGGAAAATACTTGCGTCTGTACCTCATCGTCGCCACACTCTGCTACACCTGCACTCACGTTCACGCAGGTCTACAGCTGGTCATGTACTACAAGTTTAACTCACAGTACAGGAGGATTTGTAGGGACATTTTATACTGCAGGTAGACTAGCGACTACAGGAAGATTAGTAGGGACATTTTATACTGCAAGTAGACTGTAGAATAGAAACTATATGAAGATTCGTAAGGAAATTTTATTCTGCAGATAGACTAGAGACTACAGGAAGATTTGTAGGGACATTTTATACTGCAAGTAGACTGTAGAATAGAGACTATATGAAGATTCGTAAGGAAATTTTATACTGCAGGTAGACTAGAGACTCACAGTACAGGAGGATTTGTGGGGAAATTTTATACTGCAGGTTGACTAGAGACTCACAGTACAGGAAGATTTGTAGGAAAATATTATACTGCAGGTAGACTAGAGACTACAGGAAGATTTGTAGGGAAATTTTATACTGCAGGTAGACAAGAGACTACAGGAAGATTTGTAGGGAAATTTTATACTGTAGGTAGACTAGAGACTACAGGAAGATTTGTAGGGAAATTTTATACTGCAGGTAGGCTAGAGACTACAGGAAGATTTGTAGGGACATTATATACTGCAGGTAGGCTAGAGACTCACAGTACAGGAGAATTTGTAGGCGGATTTTAACTACTACAATATTGAGCTCTTATTAAGTAAAATAAACACATTCTTTAAAATATTAACGTTTCAAATGCTCTGATAATAAAAAAAAATAAAACAACTTGCATAGGTTAAACTTAATAAATATTTTTGTAAAAGATAGTTATCTTTCCCTACTTAGTTGGTGGTCGACGCTCAACCAAGAAATCAACCAGCATTGACAGACCGTTCACCTTCGACGGCCAGTTGAATGAGTAATTGCTAGTAATTAATCCAGTTATCTCCCCTTTTAGTATTAAATATAGAAATTTAAATTACATTGTAACGATTAAAGTTATGTTTAATTAGTTTAAAAATATATATCCTTGCATTGTCTTCGAAGAAGACCTTATCTAAAAAGTTTGAACGAAATTGCTGCGTTGGAAGTTTGTCAAAATTGAGTTACAATATTCGCCACAAACCCACAAAAAGTTAAAACTTTTTGTTAACTCCGTAAAATTTCGTAAGGAGAAAAATATAAAAAAAAAACAACTTTATTTCAACATGCTTGAGGTGCTCCGTAAATAAGAACATAAAACTTACTTTCTTTCATAAATGCTTTTTCGCTCATAAGATCTTTTACATATTTTAGCGACAAAACCTTGTATTAACGAAAGTAAATTAGTTATATTTTCTTAATTTCTGTGCATTTAAAGGCTTTTTACTATTAAGTTTTTTTTTTAAATTTGTTTTATTTTAATACTTTTTAATAATTCCTAATTTAACGCGTTTTAAAAAAAAATAATTTTCTAGGCTACTGATTATTTTTGCTAATTAAATGTGGTATCAAATCAAACATAAATAAATTTAGCTTTAACAATTTTTTATTTAGTTCGCAAAGTCTGTTAGTTAGTTAGTTCATTTGTTTGTTCGTTTTTTTTGTTTTATTGTTTGTTTGTTTGTTTGTTTGTTTTAAGTGTTTGTTACCATTCAGTTTCGGCCCACTTCGAATGCAGCGATTTCTTTCAAACTTTCAATACACGTTCCACTGCGATGACAATACAAGTATAATGATTTTTTTATTTGATTAGATGTTTGATTAGTCAATATAATGAATTAAACTGTTTAGAAGCTAAGGGGTAATAAAAAAAATTAAATCGCTCGATAGATCACTAAATTTGATAACAGAAGGGGAGATAACTAGCTAAACGCTACTATCTGATCAGTCTGGTGAGCTGTTGTCTGTTAACTGCATTCACGGGGCAGAAAATCGTATTTTGGATATCGCAAGGAACGGATGGTGCTTTAAAGCTAATATTTTAGTCGTTTCTACAAAAATTAGAAAATATAAAAAGTATAAAAAAAAGTATATATTCTCTATATAAATATTATACGTCGTATGTGGGGGTTAAGGGTGGGTGGGAGGCAGTTGCAGTTTCCACCCCCCCCCCCCCCACCAAACACACAAACATCAGTGAGGAAACAAACTCTGGAAAACATACAAATACCAAGACAGGTTTTACAATTCAAAATTTTAAAGCAATTCTGTAAACAACTACTACTTCAAAAGTTTTAATCATTATTTTAAACACTTGCAAGTCAAAACATATATCATTCGATATATTTAATTATAGCTTCTCTTATTATGGCCTCAGACGAATAATAATTCTCGACATACATACATACTCAGAATAGACTAAAACCAAAGTAGCAATACTATACAGAAAAAATGGAATGTGTATATACTCTATACATATTATATCCTGCTAATGTGTAAGTAAAAAAAGGTTTTATTACACATCTTTTTATGTCGATAGCTCTAAAATGTGCCGAGCGTAGAATACTAAGCCCTAAGTGATAAACTGTGTACAAAAAATTGACTGGATTGATCAAAATGTTCATTAATAAAAACTTTAATTCTGACTTAATTTTAAGGACATGTAATCTTTATAATTAATTATAAAGTCATAATATTGTGGCTTAAAACATGAAAATACAGAATGCATAGCTAACATGATGGCGTTACAATTTAGTTATTCGAATTGTATTGCTGATTTGATATAAAACAATAAGCGTTATAGAAACAGGTATACACAATAATATCTAAGTGAATAGACACATAAGGGCTAGAGGATTGGAACAGATCACAATCGAGAACACTACAGTTTTGTAAAGACGATACATCACTGTAGAGTTAATTGCAGAGGCGTAGCGAGGGGGAGGGGGGGGGGGCGGGGGTGCGGACCACACCGGGTGACACCATTTAGGGGGGGGGTGAAACCAAGGCAAAAAAAAGCAAAATATATAGAGAAAAACTTGAGGGGGTGGAAATCGAAAGTTTAAGGGGGGGGGGGGCAAATCAAAAGTTTGAGAGGGGGTGCAAATCGGAAGTTTGACGGGGCAGGGGGGTGCAAATCAAAAGTTGAAAGTTTGTTCCCGGGAAGGGTCGCTACGCCTCTGGGGGGTGACACCATTAAGAGCCGTACCGAGTGACACTCCACCTCACTACGCCACTGGTTAATTGTGTACAGTTCTCTGTCTCGAGCAACTGTTTCAAAATGGCTTGTACATATTGGGCCACTGTGTCAATTTGGTGTGTACATTGCTCTGTCTTGGGCCACTTGGTAGTTAGCTAGTGGTTGGTTTACGTCTTGCCGGCTGGTTGCTCGCATCTGTCATGGCTGCTGTCTGCTTGTTAGCTGGTTGACTGCATCCTGATTGCATGTGGGGTTGTGCTGGTTTCGCTTGCTATTTTACTTCTAGTTTTTGAAGTGACGATCGGCGGCTTGCTAGTGACGACTAGACGGTTTTATGACCTGCTGTTTTTTAATTGACGACTGATTGGCTGGCTGATTTTGACTTTTTTTTTAGATATAATATGTGCAGTTATATCTACTGATAACCTAAGGCACCAGACAAGGAAATGAAGTGAAACAAGCAATGTGACAGTAAAAATATACAATAGATAATATCTGGAAGATGATTTTATATAACACACACACACACACACATATATATATATATATATATATATATATATATATATATATATATATATATATATATATATATATATATATATATAATACACCAGCCGTCGCGGCTAGGCCCTGCACGGCCACTGTAAAAAATCAATATGTAAAGGACCATAACTTGTAGGTTTGTTAAGCAGCATATACCCGGCATGGATTTTGACAAAATAATACATAACCCAAAACCTTAACCAAAACACAAACTCAAAAACAAAAACAAACACATACACACAATCAAACCAGTTCTACGGCTCAATAAAACCTGCATGAGCCATAGAACTGGTTGGTGACCTACTTACCAGCCCTATTACCCTTGCACCTGGACTTCTGGGAGTCCACTATTTTAGGGGGGGGGGATCCAGACATGAGACAGGCAGTGCAGGCTTAGTAGACCAAAAGGCACGCAACTCGTGAGCAGGTGGCAACTAGGATATGTCTGTAGACTCGACTAGAATTGACGGGTAGGGAAAAGTAAGGTAGTCATTAAGGACTTTGTATTTCAGTTGTAGATATTAGTATTTTTCACACTGTGATCCATGTGGTGGGGGTTTGATGTTAAGTGTTCTACTTATATAGTGGCATTAAGTAGTAGAAACAGTTGCTAATTGTGTTTATTCCTTATTAGTTATTGTTCTTGTTTACGAACCCCTGCCCAGTCGTAAAGGGCGGAAGAGGTGGATACGCAACTATATACATATATCTAGAAAGTATATAAAATAAGTAAAACTTTCCCTTTCAAACCTGACGGTCTATGGGGCAAGTGAAGTAGAGTTCACTTGTTTCTGTGACCTCAGCATATGAAGAGATAGTATGGTCAACACTATGCCCAGCCGCCTTTACTTTCCCTAAAAGTAGTTAGGTACCCATCAGAGTTGGGTGGACTCAGGGACGGTTTACTGACTTGAGCTCGGATTCGAACACGAGACTTACGGGTTTAGCAGTCCAGCTCTCTACCGCTAGACCACTCCGTCCAATAGAAAGAATATATCAAGCCCATTATTTTATGGTTTTTATCATGCCCTAATTTCTTATTTATGAAATATACAGTTAGTTACTGTCCACTCTTCTATAAAATTAAGTGTTCAATGACGAATTTGATTTATAAATTAATTTAATATAAGAGAAAATCAATGTTAAGTGCGAAATACTTGTCTATTTGTTGATTACTTTATGTTAAAATGTCGTTCTCCTGATCATGGCAGCGTAGACTTGTGGCCAGTATGTCGTCATCATATAGACAAATTCGAAACAAAATTTAACCATTACTTTTTTAAATTAAAAATCACCATAATAAATAACGGCGGTTCTTTTAGTGATTCTAAATTTCAAATCAGTTGATTTATATTTGTATTCTATTACATTTAATTCAATAACAACAGTAGTGGCTTGAGTGTAGGTTTATTTAATCCTATTTTAAAACATGAATTTTTTTCTTCTTACCTAAAGTGGATATCAAAAATGAAGTCC